TATTTCAGACAGATTCTTAGCAGAAAGGTGTGTACTGAATAAACAACTATGCAAGACCGGTAGTGTATCAGCAAAGAAGAAAGTCTATAGCCGTGGATGTATTGACTGAGAAGTAGGCATTCTGACATTGCCATGTGACAATCAGAATGGATAATATAATCTAAATGCTTGTTATAGAAACACTGTATAATAAACACTGATGTGTGTTCCAGACTTCAAATATGCTATGACTTTCACATTTCATTAATATAACTTATAGGTTTCAATTTTCTCAGCATGATTGTTTATATATTAATAATCTTCCTAAGACAAAAGTAGCAATCAGAACAACAAGTTTAAAAAAAACTAAAACTAGATGAAGCCATTAAAAAACAGAACCAGCAGCAAGTATAAATTATGCCAAACCTTTCATAATCAAAAACGCTAAGATGACATAATCGAAAATGATATCCACACATCATTTCACGATATATACTAAGACAATGTAAACTTGTTGATATGCTGAGGAAAAGCATGGAACATTTCATTTTAAGACAAAGGAAAGCATAACACTATCATCCAACAATGGCCCTGACAAACAGATGAATATACTGCAATAATTAGAGACAATTCAGGATTTTATACCCAACTATCATATCTTTCCCTATTCATACACAGACCAAATAAAACAACCAGTTTAACAAAACTCTGCAGAATTTAAATTAAAAAAAAAAATTTTTTTAAATAAAAGAGAAGATTTCTATCTGAAGGAGTATTGCACAATAAAAACTACTACTACAGTACACAGAAGGGTTGACAGCTACTATACACCAAATTCTCACAGGGACAGATCAGGTACTGAGACAAGGAGAGAAGGAAAAACTACACGCCAAGGACATTTTAGCAAAAAAACAATGGCATTGTAAGGAGATGATGGAAGCATAAGCATACCTGAATGTAAACAAGAAAACAGAAATAAGTTCAGATAAGAAAAAGGTTCATCCTATAAGTTGTGCAACACTGCCATGTGGAGATATAAGTGACAAAGAAATAGCTGACAACATCAGTACCACAATGACAATTTTGCTAATCACTATCTCAAAATGTAGGTATTATTCATGTAAATGTGTGTGTTTCTGCATGATCTAAAATCTAAGTATCACTTATGCTGATATTATTAAGTAACTAACTACATCATTCACCACATCAAACTAAACACAATCAATAATATCATAAACCAAGGTAGAGACAAATGGGGGCAGACATGACTCTAGACCAAAACCTGTCAAGGCTAAACAAGATCAAGAGAAACAGGATGGGTTACATGAATGTGAACTACAGAAATGGAAAGAAAGAGGACCAGGACAGGACAGCCTGAAAGAGAAACCAATAATATAGTTTCTCCAGAAATGGAATAGACTTAATTATCAGCTGCTTTAACACCCAGATGTGATTCATCCTACTTTACAAACTTAGTAAAATCTTCATACGGTTTTATTTGAGTCTATTTATTGTTATTTTCCTTTATTTTAAATCCTCTGCTTGCTGCTTTTCTCTTTAAATACAAACTACATTAGAGTCTTTATAATCATCAAACACGATGAGAATTGCATGTTTAATTATCCTGCCTGCAGTAAATCAGTTGTTACTACCACTCTACTCAAGTCATAGCTGCTGTTCAGCACTGTTGTAACATTAAACCGTTTCTGGTATTGACTTCTATGCACATTTCTTGGTATTAAAATGAATTCTTCAGCATTCCGAGATGTCGTTCACTGCTGCCTCCATATATATCTGTAATTGGATTCCCCTTTTTATCAGTTGATGACCCCAGGTTCTTGTCTTGAGGTTCGCCACACAGCTCCAACATTCAGTTCACCAGTGCAACTTTTATAGAGACCCTGGGAGTCATCATGGGGATCAAACCCAGTGTCACAGGTTGATCTTCCTAACTGTTTAACCTTCAACCAAGTGCATGTAAGTCTGCCTGGTGGTCTACTTCCATTCAACTCTTTTGTGTATGCAGTATTCACCTTCCTGTTAACTGCCATTCTCTCTACATACCTTAACCATCGCCGTATATCAGCCTTTATGATGCCAGCACTTAGTGGTGATTTACACATTATGAATTCTGTGATCACTTCTCACTCTTCTTTTTTCGCTACCTGCTTATAAATTCTTCCTCAGATATTTTGCACTTTTTATGTGTATTCCTAAACTTTCAGTGTATTTCTGTAATCTTCCTAGATTGTAATATCATCATCACTATGTACATGTGTTATCTCACTCTGCTTATTACTATTGAAACTTAGGGAAAATCAAAGATGGATATCAGAACTGCAAAGAGTTTAGAGGCAAAGTTTAACTCTGCAAACACACCACGGGCAATAAACAAATCAACCACTAAAGGAGCAACAACAGGTACCAAAGACACCTGAAGCTATTACCCCCCCCCTCCCCGCCCCCCCTCCCCCCCCCCCAACTAGTAAAGAAGGGTGTCACCAATCTAAAATTTAGCTTCATTTATTTATATTTCAAGCCAAATATTTTTTTTTTTTGGTAATCTGTTGAAGTTAACTACTAATATTAATAGAACTGGCTTGTCAGCGTATCAATTAGGATGGAAAAAAAAAAAAAAAACAATTTTCAGATGAAACATTAACATCACAAATCAGTAAATGTGTTCGCATAAGTGCAGCATCCCACCTAACTTAATAACAATAAATCAAGCACTTATTCTCTTAGCTTTTATACAGAACATATAATGAAACAACTCTTCATGAGAAATTGTAGTTCTAAATAAGAAAAAGGTATAATAATCATATTTTATTTTAGTATTTCCCAATTTTTCAACGGTTGTTGAGTTTGGAATTAGTGCTTGTGCCTTCCTTGCCTGTGAGATCATTCCTTGATTGTAGCTGCAGTTTACACTTATTTCTTCAATTTTCTGAGCACCCAGTCAATACAGCACCATTCTGTGCGTAATTCCATTCACTTTTGTTGTTTTCTTAGGGTTTTTAATAAACCAATAGTCTATTGTTTTTTATATAAGGGCTTTTTAATGCGTTCCAATTTTTAAATTGATCAAATGTTTTTCTTAAATATAGAGGTGAAGACAAGATGTCATTGATGAAACAAATACCATCAAACACATATTATAGAGCAATGGGGTCCATATTTATGCAGAGCTGAAAGGAAGTGCAAAGAACAGAAAACAGTGCAGCCTGATTTGATTTCAGCACAGACCTTTTAACTTGGCAACATCATTCTTTTCATGCCTACTGTGACATTAACAATTTAGACAGGCTTGGTATTCCATCAATTCTTCATGATCCTTCATTACTGCATTCAGCTCTCTCCATCTTTTTAACTTCACTCTTTAGCTCCCTTCTCCTTTTGATTTTTGTTCTTCCTCGATTTCTATGCCCCTGTGGGTTCCAGTGCAAAGACTGTTATATTGTTTTCAGGTTTTCTCAACACATGTCCTATCCAACACCAGCATCTTTTATTCACCTACTGGGATCAACTACAACTTGTTTAGTTCTCTTCCAAAGCTCATACTATTTAATTCCCTCTTTTCTGAGCAGGTACCAGTTAATGAATGTTGTAGCTTATTAGTAATTTTCTTAGTTATCCTTTAGGTTTCAACTCAATACAACAGTACTGATGTGACAGAGTTAAAAATTGTACATTCAGTATCAGTTTTAATATCTTCTGACCCCCACTTTCGCCTAGTACCATGAAAGCTCGTCTTGCCTTTTGTATTCATATTTTAGTACCTCTACCAGTTCCATCTTTATTTACATTGTTCCATCTTTATTTACATTACTGCTCCAATAGGTGTATGACTCCACATCTTGGAGTGAAATACCATTAAGAGAAACCACATTATTAGCCTGATTTATTCTCATTACCTTTGTCTTTCCTTTACAGATTTTCAGACCGAGCTGTTGTGATCTCGCATTAAGTATATTTATCTTGCATCTGATTCCGTGAGTGGACAGAAGAGAATTATCAGCAAAGTCCAGATCATCAAGCTGTTTTGTAGGGGTCCACTGAATTCCATTCCTAATGTTAGCAGTTGTCTATATAATCAAGTCTATTGCCAGTAAAAATAGGAGAGTCAACAAAAGACATCCCTGTTTTTATTTCAAATTTGTTAGCTTTTCCTCATGAACAACTCGACATTTCATGTCTTTCTATGTTGCCTTGACTAGGTTAATAATTTCATATGGGATTCAATAGTGCCCCATTAAAACAATTTTACCATGTAAAATTATTGGTGAACCCTTAACAAATATAAGCTAAACGAAACAAAACCAAAGACCATGTTTAATGAGGTACCAAACCTGCATATTACACTGCAGCTTTCCTAATGAAAAAGCACCTAATTGATCAGCAGTGTTTTAGAATAGATATGACTGAAAAAGAAGGTGCTGCACTGGAATGCACCATGGAAACACTGCAGCTCTATCTACTACAAGAAACAATTGTTAATGATAACAGACTAAGCAAATACAAAAAGAAACCTTAGACACTAAGAGTCATCCTCTGAAGTGCTATAATAATTATTTTCAATCATCCAGCCAAACTGGTTTTCCATAGATGGTAATTCACCATTTAACAGTTTATAACATACTGAAGCCTCATTCCATTATAAATACAAAATTTGGATATAAACAGAAGAGTTGTTTCATTTTCTAAAAATTCTTTAAAGATGGTGACAAACAAGCAAGAACTGCAAGTTACAATGGAAAATAAAATTATGTTTAATAAGATGCAAAGCATTTAATTTTACCATTATACTATTAAAAAATAAAAAATAAAATAAAATCCTAAGAGATACTGAAACGATAAAAATTCTTTAAAAAAAATACTAACAGCCAGTAAAATACTCTCAATTTTAAAATAAAACGTTAATATCTTAAGTGTCCACAATAACTGTGAGGGACTTCGATGTGATTTTTAAAAAAAAAATCTTGCTGTTTTGTCACCAAAATGAACTAAGAAAATAGACCAACCTGATGAGTCTCCTGCTGCCCCTTCTCCTGATGGACCTGCACCACCCTGGAAATATTCTCCATGTGCCATGCCACCCATCTGACCATAGTCTGGCCTCTGACCCCTTCTGTTATCACCATAATACTGATCATATTGCATTCCAGGAAAAGCTGTACTCTGATCTTGAGAATCATCAACTGAAAGGCAAACATCACAGGATTCAAATACTCCCACAGCTCCTAGCACCAACAATCATTCTGTGTTAGGGAAGATCGGTAAAGTGAACAATACAGAAGCAGCAGCAAACACAAAGTCACAATTCTACAGTGTTTCTCATAGAGAAAAAGACCCCCCCCCCCCCCCCCCCCCCCCAAGCACGATTTTTCAGGATGCTTTTAATATAAGCCCTAATTTAAAAAAAAATACGGCATAGTCATGACAGTTAGCTAGAATGAGAGACCTGTTGCCGAGTGGCCAGGCAGAGCACAGACTTAGCTGATGTGCACTTGATAATGAACAGATGTGGTTCATACTTCGCAAGCTATTCGGGCAGGACTCCAGGATTTGGAGAGTTGACAATGTTCCAGAAGATTAATTGACTTATTTAAAGAAATGTAGAATTTTGTATCACAGTGCGTGAGCACTAAATCACTGATTTTTTTGTGGGTATTTTTGCAATTGTTGGTGGGTGTCGTCGATGGTGGATGTACTTAAATTTTTGAAATCAAGCAAAACCTGACACCCCTAGAACATAGGACAGGCCGTGGGAATGGTCAGGAGATCTAACGCACGAGCTAGCTGGGGTGAATTCCATGATAAGTACAAAGTTTCTTAAATTTTTTACATAACGTTATCCCGTTGGGCCACTTATACTTCACAACGGACCAGCAATTAATTCATCAGTACCAATTTATTACCATTTTTCTCATACAATTGTTAATACTAGCAGTTGCACAGACATTTCTCGGGTTTCTGTACTTTTCATGAATTCATCCCATCTCTATATTTAAAGGTCATTTATGAGACTAACAGGCAACAGCCTACAATGATGACACATGTCACTAATCTGGTAGGGCAGTGATTACTTTCCACTGTGCTGTCTTATCAATTAGGTGTCACTTCCATAACAAAGACTGGATGTAATGGATCATCAAGTCCTCTCTGCCCTGGTTGTACACTGTCAAAACTGCTGCTTGTCCATCTCTAATCTTTTCCCTAGTCTACCAGTTGCCTTGCTAAAATATTTTCTCTCTGTGTGAATTTTATGAGTGATGTCTTTTAATTTGGCTAAAATATTTCACTTGCCCGTTAAGATTTTTTTTAAACTGTCACTAGTCATCATTACCTCAATTTGATATTTGAATGATCTGTTTCCTGTGTAGATTTCACCATCTAGCAGAGTAGGGTAAAAAGAACACTGACAACTGTTTTTTAATGGCCTTGTATCTTACTAGACAATATTTTTATGTTGATGAAAATTGTGTGCACGCTATCCCTGTTCTCTTTATTTCTGTTTCACTACTACCATCATATATTAATTATATGTCTAACATATAAGAAACTTTTACTTATTCTAATATTTTCCTAATTACAGTGATTTCATTGCAGGTCTCTACTTTTGCTCCTAATTTTTAGTTTTTTTCCCCCACTCATATGAACATGTAATTAACAATCTGCATTGCAAAGATGTACTTGCTCCACTAGGTTTGTAAATCATGTCAACTTTCTGCTAGTTACACTTAGCTATAAGCATGTTAGATTGTTTATTCTATAATCTTTTTCAGAAAATCTTTGTTTAGAATAGTTTTTTGTAAGTAAGTCTGTCTTTCACGCAAGAAAATATAATACCATGAGCAAAAAAACCACAAATCAGTCTGCTCCTCTTAGTCTGCCACGTTCAATGTCTTTAGAACCTGTGATAAACAATGATTCATAGATTAGCAGATCCAGAACTCCGAGACCACAATGGAAAAAATTTGATCTGCCCACTGCATCAATGTTATGAATGCTTCACACCTTGTGCCCTACCAGTATGAGACTAATGGAAGGCTCTGGCTTTAAATTTGCAGAATGTTAAGATTATCTGTGTCAGAACTTGAAAAGTACCAGAGATAAAAGGTTCTGGAAAGATGACTACAAATGCCACACAAGAGTGCCCATGAAAACATATACCATGATGGTGGTCGATTATAAGGATTTTGATGACTGCTATATATGCAGTACATAATAAATCTAGAAATAAAATATAATTGCTCTATAACCTACAATATCATTTAAGTCCTATGCTTCGTAAGACCAAGACCACAATATACAAAACTGTTAAGGCTAGTTTTCTTCTTATCTGACTGAACCTGGAGCACAACTAAAGCATAATGGTTACAAGCTCTTTCAAATGTAACATGGGATGCTATTAATGGTTTTAGAGAGAACATTTAAAAGTTATAGGCAAATTGAAACGATCTTTGGAGAAAGTTACTGGTAACAAGTACTGGTCTTATGTTTCATAACTGTTTAAAAAAACAGGGTTCTAAGCAAAAAGTAGGACAACTATTAAACCAAAGCTATAAACAAATCAATGATTAGCCTCACTGTTGTGAAACGACTACTGCCCCATATAAAATGTATGTAGATCACTTTACAAAAAAAAAAAAAAAAAAACCGAATGCTTTCACTTGAGATACCCGATTCCCCCTCTACGCGATCAACTGAATATTAAATATGACACTGCTTTCTCATGTATAAATCAAACTTCTTATACAGTCCATTCTGTGAGTGTGTGGTAATGGTAGTCATGTCTGTCTATAGCCGCTGCAGTAAATACTAGCCACTACATAGTTCACACTAAGGCTGACACTAGTCAACTTTTCAAAACATGATACTGAAACAAAAAACAGAATATAGAGAAAAGAAGAAGTGATCAAGTGACAATTAACCTGCAAGGGTGAGGCCATTATACAATCTGAGGATGATATTCTGATGTATTCAAGTAGAAGTTCAGCACTCATGGAAGGAAACTTTGAATAAACTTTGCAATAGTGTGTTGGGAAATAAAAGCCTCTAGGGAAGCAAGAATTCTCAATGTTGTAATATTAATATCTTAGCACACCATCTCTTGGTTTTTAACTCTTAACATTGTTAACACTAAAAGAAAATTATACTCACAACTTTCTTGATCATCATCACCTTCGTGCCCCGACTGTTCGTATTCCTGTTTTACTTGTATTACTCTCATTTCACTGTCCAACTGAGGTTTAATGTCCCTATCTTCTGTACCTTGATTGGTGACAGAGTCACTAAAACTTGGTGGAAAGACTTTAGAAAGATGTGACATATCTGATTCTGTTGCTGCCGTTATTGTTGTATCCAAAGAAAGCTGAGATGGTAAGATGCTTGATGATGTATGATTGTCTACGTGTAATGAGTCTGTATCTTCCGGAGCACTATTATGTGGGGAATAATGATCAGATCGACTTTCTTTTGCAATATGTTTATGACTGGAAGGAAAACTCTGATTAAAAGAACGCTTCAATGGACGGCCTGCTTTAGCTGCAGGGCTAGCAGTGTGGCGAAAGGTGTCTCTGTGTGGGATAGTTCCAGTATTTTTACTCTGGGGCTCGTCCATGATGATTATATCGTCTTCCTCAACTTTTGCACAAATTTCAGCAGGCTTGATGGGATCAGAGGTAGGTGCCGGTTTTGCTGGAGGTTTTGGTTTCTCTGCTGGCTGAGCATGAAAACTGTTACTGATAAATGTGACAGAATTTTCATCCGTTTTACAAACTTTCTCATTGAGAATGTAGTCAATTTTTTTGCCAGTATCAACACTGAGATATATGTGGCCAATAACTTCCACTCCGCTGTTAAACTCAACATAGCCATTACAGAGGGACTGAAGAAACTTGGCCAGGGAAGATATAAATTTGGAAGATGAATCGAAATCCATATTGGTTGGCTGATTCTGGAATAGCAGAAAATGAAACAAAAACAATTATTAGCGTTTTGACATGTGACTTGCTAAAAATATTTGTATTTTTCTTCTTCTTCTTCGTTTTCACCAGCAAAATGTTCTGGCTGTTTGTCCACCTCTGGAATTTAGTCTTGTTCCAGAACCTGTGTTGTGTGCACATCAGTTTAACAGACCTGACTAAACTGTGCAGATTGCTGGTTCTTAACCTCTCAGGCAGAAGCACTCAGACTTCAAAGGAAGCCCCTAATTAGTAGACTCTTATGACATGCTTGTTGTGGAGGCAGTGGCTTTATTCTTGTTTCTCCACAAAAGGGCATCAGAACCCACTGCAGAATTTTTTTTAATTTAAAGGTAAAAATGAAGGAAGATGTTTTTGGGCAAGCGTAATAACCCTAGTATTACTAGTGTGGTTCTTATACACTTGTCAAATGTGTTCAATCCAAATCTCTTTTGAGTTTAATGGCTAGGGAGGATTTCTGTATACCACAGTGATATCAAGGATATTCATAATAAATAAACATATGTATTTTCGTAATTTTAATCTGTTTCTTAAATTTCCTCACATTATTTTCCTAAATTTGGCCATAGAGTAAATTTAGTTGAATAGCCATGGTGTGAAGAAACATGCTTCACTTAGAGGCTTGATGGTCACTGTGGAATATAAATGAGCAATAAACCTGACTAATACTGAATTTCATCAGAGAGGCAAGGTAAGTTGAAGAATCGATGATTGTGAATGTAAATCCTGACTAGATTGCAATATACAAGCTGAAAGCAGATAAGGGTGCTGTGCTATGCAAGAGACCACAAAAGAATAGTAAACCAAAACTGAACTGGTGTAGTTAGCTGCAACACAACAGGATACACTACTAAGGAGGTGATCCGAGCATTTAATTTATGGTTTGATATGCAGTCAGGATGATCAGTTGAACTTTCTGCCAACCTGCTGCTTAAACAATTTATCAACACCTTTTTCTCTCCACAATGCTTAAACAATGGAAGCAGAAGCAGAAACTGATGATGGTGGACCAAAAGTTTTTACTACAAAACATCTTCAGGCTCTCAAAGTGATGTTTTTCGCAGTGAATAATTTGGGACTAGTATTTGGATGAATGCCAATATATATATATATATATATTGAGCTGTGGGAAGGAATAGTTTTCGACCCATTGAAGCGTCTTGGAGAGGAATGGTTTTTGATCGATTGTTCACATTGCTTGTGGGTTCCAGGGCCACATGTTTGAGGCAAAAGAGAAAAAGGTTCTCCTCCGAACTTCGACCCAATATTATGGAGGCCATAATATATCCTTAAGGGGCTCAGTTCTATTAAAAATATGCTCCGTATAATGAAACAAATGCTCTAACAGGGTCTCAGCGATGTTACTTGCGGACCTGTTTTTGTGACTGTGCCTCACCGCCGACCGTATCCCCCGCGCTGCGAATGGGGGCTAAACTAGATGGCTGGGACTCACGAGCAGCAACTACCGCATCTCATGCAACTTCCTCCAATTAATTTGCTCGTGAGTCCCAGGCACCTATTTTAGCCCCCTACGCGCGGCGCGGGGGATACAATCGGCGGTGAGTTTAATCGCGTTTTGCGCAAGCTATTATCGTCTGCAGAAACGCTCGAAATTGTCAATTGTTGCTATTATTGTCTGCAATGTTGCGTCTCTTGAAATTGTCAAGTAATCCTAGTTTTGCCGCGATTTGTTCCTTGGCAGAAAGTCCGCATTTTACATATGCCTGAGCCCCGTAAGGATATTTTACAGCCACAATAATATCGGGTCGAAGGTCGGAGGAGATCCAAGAAAAAAATCCACTGCCACCAAAAAAGCATGATGTTGTAAAAGGCGACTTATCAGGACTTTGCTGAAATCTGATGTGTTGGGGCGAAAGGCGCAGATAATGCAACCTAGCTGTAAACCACAACACAACTTGCCAACTTTAATATAATTATCACACAGCGGGAAATGAACACCAGTCACGACAGGCCGAAGACTTACAACTGTACTACCGAAGACTGCAGAGTTTGGTTCCTATAAATTTAAAAAGTATATAATAATGCTAAGCCTAGTTCTTAGTGTTCCTATTCCATATTTTAAACTTTTATGACCTGCTGAGGCCCTGAATGGGATTTTAGGCTATCCTCCGAATGATGGTCCCAAATAATCGATGCCAAAAATATACCCTAACAGGGCCTCAGTCACATGTAAATTGTGGACCTCTTTCGGGCGACTAAACCGCCACCGGCGAGAGTATCTCCCGCACCGTACGCACGGCGCCGAGTGGGGCTAAACTAGACAGCTGGAACTCACGAGCAAATAAAATGAGGGAAGCTGCAGGAGATGCGTTAGGTGCTGCTCGTGAGTCAGTTTTCGCGGGTAGCCGGGTGGGTGATACTCTTGGCGGTGACTTTAATTTGGCAGAAGCTTTTCTGTGGTATGCTGAAAGAGGCCTGCTATTTACATGTGACTGAGGCCCTGTTAGGGTATATTTTCGGCCTCATTTTATTTGCTCGTGTGGGAGGCTCTCGAAGGAGTGTTCGTCTGAAGAAAGTCGGCAATTTACACGTGAGTGATGCTCTGATCGTACTTAGCTGAGTTTCAATGGCGTAACAGCCACAAACAGCAGATTTTCGGGCACTATTTACAACTTCTGTGCCATAATTTCCAGATATAAAGGCATAAAGTTATCGGTAAGTAGTTGATTTGATATAACATTTTTTTCGTTCCTTATTAGTTTTGAATTCAATTTTTGAATGTTTACAACACATGACACGTGACTGAGGCTCGTCAGGATATTTTCCGGCCATCTTTAGTGCCCGTTATTCGGAGGATAGCCCAATTTTTCAAAATTAAATAATTGGTTTAAATTAACAAAGCGAAACAGATGCGAAAGTGATAGGTAATGTCATTAAGTTATACAGCTGATGACTTATATTGCGCGCTACAGTATATTTGCAATCACATAATAATCTAATAAATTATAGTAGTAGTAGTGCATGAGTAGACTGATGCATTTGAGTAGGGGCCATTTTCTCCAATCATGGCGCATGGGCAGGTTAGACGTTTCTGTCGGTCTTCTTACTCGTGTACATACGCGTTTAAGTAACTCATAGAAGACATTAATAATGAATTAAAAATAGATTTTCCCATTATAACCACATATACGTTTATGATACCTGTATTCTAGTTTATTAAAATGACACTGATCTTTAGGCCAGCAATGAAACAATCGGACCAGGCATCTCTGTTTCCTGTAGGTTACAAGCAACGCTGCTAATTAACATAATTTATGAAACGCGAAAACGAGTCTGCGGTTACTGTTCCAAGCATAATTTTCTGTGCAGGTGGTTTAAAAAAATGTTAAATGAACTTTGGGCGGTAGCATGTTGTGAGTTTTGCTGCGGCAATATTATGCTTAGTCAAGATAAGTTGAGTCGAGTCAAGAACAAACACCACAGTATTTTAGACACTCCGATAAGGGACTCCATCCCCATCTCCAGCAGCCAGCGAAAACTTCGAAATGTACTATCAATATCTGGGAATCACATTTACAGAAAGAGTCAACTAGTGATACTTCGGCGAATACAGAACGCAGCTTTGTGGATTATTCTGTAATGTTCCAGTGACGCCTCACCAGTGTGTATACAATACATCACTGGGTTGACGACTGTTACATGTAAGCTAAAGGTGCTGCCTCCGAAAGCATATCTCATAGTAGCCGCAGACACACCCTTTGTAGGAAGCGCTGGACTCATTTAAGGGTCTGAGGCTGATAAGAGGGAGTATTGCATGGCTCAGGTGGAGGGCATGATCAGACAGGTTTGCATTCTGGAGAACATTAGATGAAGAGAGGAGTGTGTCAGAGCACCAGCGGAAGTCAGAACTGAGTTGAATTATAACATAACGGAACCCTTGACCCTTCAAAGTTGTGGGTTATCGATGCAAACACTAGCACGCAAAACTCGCCATCCTTCTTTGTCCTCCGCTTGTTGAGCAAGTAAGTATATGATAACTTAGTCCTGTCCATTCCTAGTTTTTCTTTGACCTCCTCTTCTTCGACTACCCCTCCCCCTCCCCAATTCCCGATGTTCCTTGAAGCATAGTCTTTGAAATCGAATTATGTTACACCACGTAATCGAACCAAGTTAGCTTGCGACGTTTAACCGCTTGACTCTTGATGTCCTGCAAATTTATTAATTTTGTCTCTGACATATTTGTTGATTTTATGTTCTAATCAACGCCTTCTCTAATAATAATAAATAGAGAAGACCGTGGTTCTAATTAACTAACCCGTAAAATGCATCTAAAGCATTTATGTTCGAAATCCTGAATCATCCGTTCATTTTCCACAGTCCAACTCTCTCATGCGTTTAAGAAAAGTGACAGTACGAGTGATTTGTACTTTGTATTTGTACTGATTTGTATATGCTGACCTTTACTGCGATACTGATTTTGCTCTTTCATATCGCGGCTGTTGTCATATCAAGTCTTGCCTGAGCTTTTTTATATAGCTGTCATCGTTATATATGTTGGAGCTCAACTTCTTTCAAACCCCCCTCTCTCTCCCCCCCCCCACCCCCCGCCTTTAAAAAAAATCTGTATATTGATTATTGTAACTGTTAACCAGAAACTTGCTTTTCACCCCATTAATTGTCATGTCATATTTACCACAGACCGTCTCTAATGTTGTAGTTAGTTCTTTGAGCTCTACTTTTGAACCAGCCATGAGATCAGTGTCGTCTGCGAAACGTAAATTACATAGTGGTCTTCCGCCAAATGGATATAGCTGTTTCATGATTTTATGGCATTTCTCTCATAATATCTTCTGTATACAAATAGAAAAAGGACAGGATAGCATGCAACCCCATTGTAGAGTCGTAAACACATTGAGCCGGGACGGCAGGGATTGGCTAATATGTGCCTCTGGAGGTGGAAATTCAACAGTTCATTCAGGATAATGCTCGCTCATGT